ACAACTGAGTCCCATTTTTCTTGTCTTAATGGATCTTACTTTCCTGGTTGCCTTAAGAATCACATGCATGTGAGTGTCCTGTGTGCCATGGTGGACCACCTAGCTTTGGAGGCAATTTCTCCTTTCACTTTTCTTCCCCAGGTAGATCTAGACATAAGCTTTTTGCAGAAAGGTTTTCCTGGGTATTTGAGAAGATATTTCAGCTCCTGCAGTGACAAAAGCCTATTCAGACTCTGCATAATTTACTAACCTGATTTATAAAGCACTACATTAAGTTTAGTACTTTCATGCAATATGAGGATAGAGCCATCTGAGGAAAGCGAAGATCTGTAATGATCGCAATGCACCCTGGAATTACATGCAATGGAAGCAAGCAGATTGGGGCAATTATCCCTCTTTTTATTATTAAACCTTCGGATGGCTGTTAGAGGTTAATGGGACTATTATTTTTCCTTCTTTAAAAATCTGCCTTAAAGCTGATCTGGATGGCTCCACATGAGGAGACTGGTGCTTGCAACAGCAGGCAGAGCTTCTATTAAGCAAGGAGAGAGATCACATGCGTATGCTATTAGTCAAATAAATCCTAGAACCTTCAAGTCCTAGAAATGAGCTCTGATGATGAGAGGTGTCTCTGCACACTTAACAGTAAACATGGTACCTTTGGTAACATTTTTATAAAACACAATACGGTTTTTGTTGTTGGGCAAAACAAGTCATGTTAATTGGAAGATTCTTCGAGAGAGGATTGGCAGAGCAACCACACCACACCTCTCCTTAACCCTGCAATTACAACCTGGGAAGATTCTGTCTGGAGATGTATTCCAAACTGAAGTATCAGAACATTGGCATTGTCTATGGATGATACACTTCTGGGGTTAAAGGTGGGTTTATGCTCTAGGTAGATTTGGGGATGGGAAAGGCTAGAGTCAGGAGTGGAGTCAGAATGGCAGGCCTATCTTCCTAGGTTTATTCTCAAAGTAGGTCACATGAAAATAATTTTCTAAAATGGTAAAAATGGTGAGCTGGCTTCTCTCCCTAATCTCCAAGAGGTGTACGATTAATGAGAATTCAGTTTCTTCCTTGCCTTCCTCTTAGCCTCTGCAGATTTGTTTATAAAGAGAAGATCTAGGCCAGAAGATGTCCCTGGTGAAACCTAGTGCTGGAGGTTTGAGTCTTGAGTCACACTGTGCCAGGAAAACAAGAACTGATTCAAGATGGAAAACTCTCTTTCTTTCTTTCTTTCTTTCTTTCTTTCTTTCTTTCTTTCTTTCTTTCTTTCCAACAATCAGTGACTATATGGCCACTAGTCTTTTTGTCTTTTTATTTGTTTTATATAGTTACTTAATACTTGAAAAAAGCAAAAGTTAGGGAAAATGACAGTGAGCATGGAGCATGCTGAGTAGGTTAATACACCATGGCCCAGGATGGAAGGAGAAACTTTTCCAAATAGTCAGTTTTAGGAAACCTGTTTGACAGTTGTTCAAGAACATCATGCAAACATTCTGTACTTGGGCTGCACATTTCCGGTGTCCTAAGCGAGGCCCCACTTTGAAGCAGAGGCTTTAAAAGAAGAGACATAGATTGGATCATTTGTCTGCTTTCACATCATTCAAATGAAAAGCTAGCAGCCAGTGCAGTGGATACTCCCATAAACACAATCAACTACCAACTGTCACCTGTCAGTAGCATGGTGTGGTGGTATGAATTGGAATGGCCCCATTGACTCATGTGTTTGAATACTTGGCCATAGGGGTGGCACTATTTGGAGGTGTTGCCTCATTGTTGTAGGTATGGCCTTGTAGGAGGAAGTGTGTCACTGTGGGAGCAAGCTTTGACATCTTATATGCTCAAGCCAAGCCTAGAGTTGCTCACAGTCTCTTCTTGCCGACTGTAGATCAAGATGTAGAACTCTTAGCTCCTTCTCCAGCACCATGTCTGTCTGCAGGCTGTCATATTGTTAGCCGGCCCCAATTAAATATTTTTTTTTAAAATAAGAGCTTCCTTGGTCACAGTGTTTCTTCACAGCAATAAAACCCCAAGTAAGAGACACATGATTGCATGCAAAGTTAGGATGAATTTGGATTCATGGATTTTGGAAATGGTTTACACTTCAAGTATGTCTTTCAAGGTAGACAACATTGATTACCAAACAATACAAATGTTACATATACAGACAAGAGACAAAAAAATCAACTAAAAGGGAAAACACTTGGGGAATATTTTTTCCACTATGTTTAGTGGTTATTCTTCCCCCAAGACCTACATCGCAATACATGCTATTGCTATGTTCACAGTGTGTTTAAAGACAGCTTTAGAATAGACACTATTTTGGTCATCTTGCTAAACCCTTAGAAATAGTGATCATGGGAGTGATCACAAAACTTTGTTTATTGCCCTGCTTATTCTTTGACTATTTGTGCTTATTGTCTTGCTCATTCCTTGACTATTTGCATCTATTGTATTGCTAGTTCCTCAACCTAGAAGTGACCTTAATTCTTGCATGTAATTAAAATGGTATAAAAGCAAACAGGAGGAGGAGAGATGGGCTAGGGGGCTTCTGGGGAGGGATGAGGAAAGGGGATGGCATCTGAAATTTAAATACATAAAATATCCAATAAAACAAGACAAGGTGCTTGAAGCTACTTTCCTCTGCTGCTTTACAGAAACAGCTGCAACCCAACACTCAATAGCCAGTCAGAGTATGCTGTCAATTCCTTGGAGGAAATGTATATTGAATTTGTAAAGTCATTTGTCATTAACTTTGCATGAGGAAATTGTTTCCAGCTGAAAGTAAAAACAAGCATCTGTCTTCCTTCTGCCTTATGGCTATTTACATGACTGAGCTGTCCATCCTCCAAGGGAAAGCATATAGGATGACTATGGCCCTGGGGAAAGCCTAGAAGAAGAAGAGGAGAGACTGTGTCCACCATTGCCCACACAATGGCAAGATCTGGTATTGCTCACTGGTGATCTCAACATTTGCCAGAAGGACTGTCACAATTTAAAGGCCACCCTGGGACACACACACACACACACACACACACACACACACACCAAGTCTCTAGCTTCTTCCCTTTTGAAGCTTAGGGTTTCTGTGGTCTGTTCCTACCAGGTGTCAGATGAGCACATGTCTTGCCAGGCTCAGACTTGCACCCTGTGGAAGAGCTTTGACATGGTGATCATTGTTACATTTTTCTTTTATGAGGACTCTCAAGAAGAAGAAAAGGCTCTATTAGAGCAGAGCACTGCAGAGGGATAACTCAGGGTGATGCCTGATAGCTCATGATCCATCCTGACCTTTTGGTAGGTTTTCTAGACCCACTTTTGTAAACATCATCAAACCCTCAGTTGAGGGAACCTCTAAACTACCTGTGGTAGAGGGTTACACAGGCTTAAATGTATGACCTAGTGTTACGAGGCTATGGTAAAGGAGCTCAGGGTCTGGAGCCTGAACCTTAGTGGAGGGCATTAGAAGAAATAGGGCCTAGCATCTCTACCCAGTCTGTGGAAATCCATGTGTAGCCAGTTGCCATGCTGTGTGAAGAATGTAAATTGCTTTCTCACACTTTTCCCTCAAATTGATGGCGAGGAATCCACCAAGCACATAGGGAAAATGGCCAGCCTTGTTGGCTGACAGCAGACTTAGAACTTGTCCTAACAAGCACACCCTAAGCCACAACAGAGACACATGTGAGACTAGTGTCAGTATCTCTCTTGACCTCTATAGAGCAAGGTCTCCTGTTGCTAAACCCTGTGATAACTGATGGAGATTCTGACTCCTCCTTCTTAGATAGAGAAGTACTTCATGGGATAACTAAGTGCTCAGTGTCCACCGCATGACAAAGATGGGTAAGAACCACTTAGAATATTTCAGCATATCTTGCCGATAACATTACACAAGTAGTTACTGGTTTAGTATTATTGACAATGAATCTTGAACCTGAACATCATAAGCGTTTGTAGAGCCAGAGTGTGTATCCTCTAGAAAATATCTGGTATTCAGCTGTCCTTTCATGGTCAAGTCTTCCCCTCAAGCACACACTGATCTCTTATAATTTCCTTACTTCTTCCTTTTCCTTACTGTTGAATCCTCGAGCATGGCAGAGAGTTTACTACTGCTTAAAGATAAGAAAGGCCACTTTCTACTACTCAGAAAGGAGTTATCAGATTTGTCGCTTTCTGTCTTGGTGGGAACAGAAGAAAGATTCTTTCATGTATAAGCTCTGTCAGTATCGCCCCAGCAGAACAACATATGCTCGGTGGATGGAGAATCAGATCTAATGCTGACTACATATGAGCATATCACCTGACAAGTGAACCTGTCAAGCTATAGATCACCTCGTTAAGAATGTCAATCACATTGATTGTTTCAAAATGATTACCAACACTTTCTTTTCTACCTCTAAGACATACAGATGGTGGTAGCAAAACACCGAAACCTTATATAGATGAACAGAATCTCTTTCTTCCCATTAATCATTTCTACCCCTCAATCATTTTTACCATTTAAAAAGGTATTTTTTTCCATGCTCCAATTTCATTTCAAAGCCACGGGCCCTGATTGTCAAGATAGAGTAACAAAAACACTCACAGGATGTAGTTTTTGCTAGCACCCCCTGTGAGCACTCAGATATGGAATCCCCAGTGAACATAGAATGGGGACAACATGAGGAGAAGTCTTGGAATGGCTGAAGAAGGTGACCACAGGCCAACACAATGTATGAATACTCAGCACTGTAGTAGAGTCTGATGGCATCACCAGGGACAAGGAATCCTGAGGGAAAAGTCTGTAAAATGTATGTGACCTTCTAGATGAGAACTCAGCTCCAGGCGTTCAACCAGAGAACAGTGAGCAGTCGGTTATAAAGACAGAGGTTTTACAGGTATAACATGTCATCATTGAGCACTATCTCAGAGAAGGGAATTAGGGACCATTTTATCTACTCCTGTTTTCCCTCTAATTGGTGTATCTAGCCTCACATAGAAAGAAAATAACTCACAGACAGAGTTTTTGTGGCTGCTGTCCTTGCTTGGTAGCATCTTGACTCCTCTGGACTTCAGCTCAATTGCCTTTTTCACTGAAAGAAAGCAAAACAAATTATCAGATGAGACTCGGAGTTCACAAAGCCATACTTTAATCTCATAGCAAATCCAGTCTTAATACACTTCTGCCAACCCCTGATCTAGGGACCAGGATCTAAAATGCTATTGAGAGGAAACAGATGGAAAACAGGTTACAAATAATTAAGTTTTTTTTTGGCAGCAAAATGTATCTCATGATCATGTATCCAGAGTTGAAAATAAATGACAGCAAGGCTTTCCTTCCACATCCATGTTAGTCACCATCAGAAAACACAACTTTGCTGTATCACTGTTGTTGCCCCTAACCACAAGGAGTAGATTGTACTTTCAGTATTTTCATAGTGACCCTGACCCTGATGCTTTCTAAATAATATACTCTACTCATAAAACTCTTTTCACAAAACTAGATGTTGGCCATTTATTTATTCATGTTTTAAATTAACTACCTAAATTTTATCATATGGCATTGATGAACTGCAGCATACAAATGCTATGCTAGAATGTTGCAGGTTAAACATGAAGAAACCCATCTCTTTCCCTCCCAGCTCCTTCCTCTCTCCTCCACTCCCCTTCCCCACTCTCCTTTCCATTTCTCTTCTCCCTCTCCTCCTAGCAGAGTTTTCCTGCCTGTGATATTCAAGGGCATCCTACACTGTAGTTCATCTCTAAGATTTAGATAAGGGTCTGAATATTCTAGGTTCTGAACCCAACAAAACTGACTATGAGCCAAACTGTGCAGAGGGAACTCCTTTCTTTTAAAATGAGAATAAGGCATAGAAGAGAGCTGGAGAGGGTGGCCTTCCTCTTCTTTTACTGACCTGAGTGCTCTTTTCTTACCTTTACTCTCTCCTGTAGTCTAAGTATTGGTCAAGTGGTTTATTTCTCTGGAGGAGGCTACATAGAGCAAGCAAAGGTGGCCAGGGGCCTGTACTCTTTAGTTTGCTCTTCTCCCTTAGCATTCTCAAATATTTCAGCCTAAGAAAATGGTAACCAAAGTTAAAAAAAAATAGGCCATCTGCTGCTTACCTCCCATAATTCCTCCTCTTTTCTCTGTATTTTGCCCATTCCTGAGAGTCTGTGGCTCCAATCTCCTCCTGCCCAGATGCCCAATAGAAGAGCAAGTCTAACACCCTATGTTGAGACTGAACACAATCCCACAGGAAACAATTTTAGCAAAGGCCAGATGATATTTAAAGTCTACACCAATGTTATCGGATCTTCCCTAAAGCCAAAGAATCAAGGCCACTAATGCCACTGAATCTTTTTCATTTTATTTTACTTTATTTTATATTATTATTTATTTTCTTTTATTTTTAAGGAACAACAAAATGAAAGCAGTTCTCTGCCACCTACCACTTCTCTCAGAAAATATGAGCCTTGTTATTTCTAAGACATGTGTGGGTATTTTCACTACTGTAGATATCTTCTGTGTCTAAGACTCTACTGGAGAAAACCCTTCACAGGAGGAACTTCACAGAGCAACAGAAGCAGAGGCTCCTCTAGAAAGACATGGAGATGACCTAGACGTAGTCTGACCAATATCCAGGGAAGGGGGCAGATGTCTGCCCTGTCCCCTTTGGTTCCCAACAAGGAGAATATCACTCATTCTATATACAGGAATCAGGAGGGTATTCACAGGCAAACTTAAGCCTTGGGCTGGTGTCTCCCTGGTCTCTGGGTTAGCAAGTGTTAGATGTTGGATTGGCAGAATTTTGTGAAGGTAATTATCATTGAATTATTTTTCAAATTGTTCCTTTTTATGTGAGCTTCATTGACCAGAAGGCTCTATTCAGTGCAGATGGGGCTTCTATTTACTTCCTCCTTGGCATAAGCAAAAGAGCTGGCTTTCAATTTATAGTCTTCTTTTTGTTAATCTGAATCTGAAATGTGTAGAATCCTTTAGCACTATAAACCTCAAAGTTGGAATGATACAAACATAGACAAATGCTTGTTTGTGGGTTTAGCAGGATAACAAAGAAAAACAGGAGTATGAAGGAAGTATAATAATTTCCAGAGCTCTTTCCAAAATGTATGGTTAATGAATCACAAGGCTAGGATAGTCTGGTATCTCAGGACTAAGGTTACTCATGGAGAAATTGAGGGGGTGAGGGGCATCTGAGATCCACTGTGAGAAAGTGCTGGTCAATTAGTAGTTGTCAACTGTGGGTCTCCCTACTCTGCTGATTTGTCAGCTGATACAATCCATAAGTCAAGTGGGATCAGAGGGGGTAAGCAGGGGTTTGGAAACCCTGTGAGTACGTTATGATGAAAGACCACACCTGAGCCAGTTGTCAGTCAGCAGATCAACTTTACTTAGTGTAATTGAAGGCTTATAAAGTTTTGGGGGACTAAGGTTAGAAACATCTAGGAAGGGCAAAGGTCATTGGCTGGGTCTTAGGGTACATGGAATGCCTCATTAGCATGGTGAAGCATTTCAGGAATCTCAGGTGTTGGCTGCACAGTTTTGTTTTTTTCTTCTTCAGGAGAAAGGAAATTGGTCCTATAATCTGATTGAGGCTATGTGACATTCCTCAGGTAGCAGCACATGTGTGTGCTTAGAATTCTCCAGATAAGGAGAAAGGAGAAGGAGAAAACTAGCTGCTGAAGGGAGTCTCTCACAATAGGCCAAGCCCAGAAGCTATTCAGTCATGGTGGACTTTGACCTTAATTAGCAGAGTTTTCCCTCATTTGATCTTCAACATTTCAGAGTGCACTGTTACAGAGCCACTGTGGTTCTGGCCATACCCTTTATGGGTGACTCATCCCATCCAGGGACCAATCAGCATAAGGAGGAAAAAAAAAACAGAGAAATTACCTCACTGTGACGACTTAAACACCTTAAACCTTGTGGTCACTTGTGTTTGGTAATAGCTTCAACATCACCCAACTTTCCCCTCTACTTCCACATGGCCTGACTCAAAGACTTGGTCATTGGTTACTCAGTAGTGGTCCACAGAGAGCCCAACCCCAGGTTTTATATGTCTTGCTTTCCCTCTCTGTGACTTTAGTCTGTTATTTCTATCTCTCTTTCCCTGTAGTGAGCAAACAGAAAACGAGAGCAAAAAAGCTGCCATTCCTTAGAACAGATCTTCCTGTGAGGTCTGCCCTAGAACCATGTCTTAATTTTAAACCATGAGTGCCTTGATGTGTGTTCCCCATCATCTCCACTTTCTTCTACAGAAATAACTTTATCTTGACATATCTCAAGGGAGAGGAGATGAATTCGAAATGAGCAAGGCAAAGGAGAATCAATGGGAAGATTATACAGTGTGTTAAACTCATAGCAAATTCCACTCAGTGTAAACAGATAAAACAAACAGAACTCAATTCTTTCAAAGAGTAAAAAGAAAGACTGAGAGGCGTACAGGGTGCCATAAGAGTGTCTGAATATACTGGACCTCTTGGAGAATTCGATGAGCCCATAAATCCCACAATTCTACAAATAATTGTTTGAAGCTCTGTGAAGCTAAATTTCCACCAGGGATGCTTTATTTATTTTTCAATATGGTGGTATTATTCTTTTGTTACTCTCTGAGTCACTGAGTTCTGATTTATTCCATGTTCCTTTGGCCTCTTATTGGAAGACAATAGTTTTTGGCAATGTTGGCCAGAAAGAGAAGTTGACATATACATCCTTGGTCTACCAGTTGTCTGCACCTTTCATTATGCCTCTCCCTTAGTATCATTCTTCCAACCTGAATAATTTCCTCCATTTCTTTTCTCCTCCTCCTCCTCCTCCTCCTCCTCCTCCTCCTCCTCCTCCTCCACCTCTTTCTCTTCCTGCTTCTTCCTCTTCTTTCTCCTTTTTTTCTCTCTTTCTTTCTCTCTTTCTTTCTTTCTTTCTTTCTTTCTTTCTTTCTTTCTTTCTTTCTTTCCATCCTTTCTCCTTCTCCTTCCTTTCCTTTGCCACTTCAGCTCCTATTGAGGCTGATGGAGTGACCCTAACTTATAAAGAAACTGGTTGGAAGAGAATGCAGCATATCAAGCTCAAATTTGTAGGATGGAGGGAAAGAAGCTGCTCTCCAATAGCCTGCAATTCTCCAGGAAACAAACAAAAAGCTATTAATCTCGTTCATTTGAAGCTTTTTGAAGGAAAGATAAAACCCCCCTCCCAATTCTCATGTTTAACCTCAAACCTAGCCAAAGAGAACTTCTGAGCTCAACTTACAAGTTTCTTCTTTCCTCTTTTTAGCATAGCTCCTGAGATATTTTTTGAATAGAATTGTGAATTTATGCTTTGGAGGACACCAGCTTGGCTTTCCAGTGTAAAGAAATTATAAGTTGCATGTTTAGTTTTAGATTCATTGCTGTGAAAAGACACCATGACCAAGGCAACTCTTACAAAGAAATAACATTTATTTAATTGGGTCTGGCCTAAGGATTCAGAGTCTTAGCCCATTATCATCATGCTGATAAAAACGGCTATGTGCAGGCAGATTTGGTTTTGGTGCTGGAGGAACCAAGAGTTTTATATCTTGATCCAAAGGCAGCCATGAAGAAACTGTCTTCTGAAGGTAGAGAGGAGGAGGGTCTCTTTTGCACTGGAGTAGATTGAACATTAGGAGACCTGAAAACCCACCTACATAGTGCCACACTTCCCCCAACAAGGCCACACCTATTCCTACAAGTTCACACCTCCTAATAGTGCTATTCACTATTGGCCCAGCATTCAAACACATGAGTGACGGGGGCCAAACCTATTTTAACTACCCCAATTTAGAAAGCCTGCATAAGGACTCTGGCCAGTCTTGGATGATATAATTCATAAGTAACATAAATAATTCAGTCATTCACTTAAACAGACAGTGGTGACCAAAGACTGGACATAATACCAGGGAGTCAATGGGCAATGGACACAAGAGCTCAATTTGGACAGATGAGTTCATGTGTACTATTTGCATAGCATGATGGCTGTTCTTAGTCCTGCACTTCACCAAAGAGTTGATTTTAAACTTTAACATAAATCAATATTTTAAAATGTGGAGAGCATAAATAT